AGAATTATGTTCAGTACATTACTGATATTTATTTATAAAATAAAAATGACATAAATCCATCGCATCAGATCTATTAGAAAAAATTCAATATAATTCACAATTTCACAACTATAATACAAGAAGCCAATCTGACTTTCATGTACCGCAAGCCATCACTAAAAGTTCTCAAAATACAATTTTTATTAAAGGTTTAAAAAATTTAATAAACTGCATACAGAAAAAAAAAACAAAAATAAATGTATTCAAAAGTAACCTCAAACAATACTTGATAAATAAACAAAACGGATATACTTTCTTGTGATAATACTCTTTAAACCTGCCCTTTTTAAGTATTTCCCTTAATTTGTTGTTATTTTACCCCTCGTTTTACCTTGTTTTACTACTTAGTATGTTTAAATTATTAATAGTTTTGCGACGATAGGTTATAGCAACTTATAGCAACAAAACTATGTTTGTGTTGAAGTAGATCCATAGAGAGCAATGTAATTTACAAAGGCCTTCTTTCAACATACAAATAAATGACAACTTTATAATTAAAATGAAAAACACAACAAAATACCTCGGTATCATAATTGATCAAAATTTGAAATGGGTTGATTACATTACGTCATTAAAATCCCAAGGTAAGAAGATTAATTTTTAAATTTTATGAATTGAGGAAATTTATGACTAGGAGTTTACTAATTATTATTTACAATTCGCTGGTTGAATATGTAATCCCAAACTGTATAATTAAAATTATCTACAAAAAACCAGCATTATATCCTCTCTTTTATACAATAAAAAAGTGCTTTGTATAAGAACATTATATTATTTGTCTTGCTGTACCTTTATTTATGAAAAGCCTGAATTGAGATACACTACAATATATTTGCAATAAATATCAAAAGAAACATACATTTTTAAATAATTTGACATTTAAGAGCCATTCACACATCACAGTTGACATCTTGATACTTGACAGGCACAACCAAGCATTATTCTGCTTTTTGACAAATAAAATATTGGGTTAGATATTGTTCTTTCTTCTGTGGTTAGGTGTTTTTGTGGCTAGGGGTGAAATAGTAGTACGCTTAAATTAGCACCACCATTTTTAAGAAACTGTTAATATATTTTTCATAAATTAGCAGGCTTGGTGACTAATTTTGAATAAAAATAGCCTTCAAAATGGCTGCGAATGCAAGTATAAAGGTCGCAACTCGCCTTAGAAGTAAGTGTTCAAAGTGAGAGCTTCCAACTGCCTGATAATCTCCTAGTCTATCAACAAATGATATTAAGACTGATAAACTGCAAGTGTTATTTCTTGAACAGCAATTCTTATTTTGTTTTCCAATTCTTCCAGCGAATGTGGCAAGTCCTTATAATCTACTGATTTCAATAAAAAAATGCAGTGGGGATAAATCCGATGACATGTCGGCCACTCAATATGCCCTCTTAGACCCACTTATCTCTGCGGAAATATTGTGTTCAGGTACAGCTTCACTGTAGATCGAAATTAGGGCGAGGACCATCTTGCTGGAACCAAAATTCATCAGAAAATTCTAAGTGATTTCTATGATTTAGTATTAAACGCACTAACTTTAGAACTATCTGCACCGTTCAGAGTTCCTATCATAAAGAATGATCCAATAATTCTTCCTCTAACTATATCAGCCCAAACATTTAACTTTTGTGGATATTGGGTGTGGCCTTCTTCCATCCAGTGAGGATCATGATTAAAGCAATATCAGCAATTCTGTTTATTTACAAATCTACTGAGACAAAATATTGATTTATCAGAAAAAAGAATGTTGTTCATTATCATATTATTTCTATTAATGTCATCCATCATTTCCTGACAGAATTTCACTTTAGAGGGATAACATTTATTGACTTTCAGAATCCTCCTTACAGGCCTCTCACTTATATTATTGTCTAACGCAAGCATTAGTACTGAAGTTTTTGATTCTTCCTGTACACTTAGAACCACATTAAGTGCAGTTTCTCTATCAGTAGCTGTCCTCTTCCGTCCAGATCTGGGATTGTTCTTCACACTGCCTGTTTCATTGAACTTGTCTAAATTTTTGGATACTGTATAGAGAAATCGGGGAAATCCTATCAGGGAATGTTTCATTAAACAAATCACAAGCTCTTTACAGATATCTCTTTCTGTCTCAAAACCCAATAATCATCAATATTGTAATTTATTTCATGTTTATTCAGTTCAACCATGCTTTAAATTAATAAAAATTCTCAGTAGTATCATTGTATAAATATATATATACAATGGTAGTATCAAATATTGAGACTTGAGAGTTATTTATTGTCGTTTGAGTAAAATGCTTAGACTTAAATTAAACTCAATTTGTTTTATTTAAACCAAAATGAATTAAAATCTACTGATTAATAAAAGGTGACAATATTATAAAAAACCAAAATATTGGTAGGTTTTTGTCAGAGTACAAGAATTGTATTAGTAAAACTGAGAGTGATTATTATGGAGATGTCAATATGACATTTATAATGTCAAAACATGAAAGCAATTCAAATTCTTAGATTATGATAGCACAGACAACTGTGTGGAATGTTGTTCATTAATTATTCAAAACAACGTTTACCTTTCTGTTTATAATATATAAATATAAATAACTTCATAGATTCATTTAAAATTTCTTCCGATGGCGTCTTATTTTGATAAATATGTCAGATGACGAAAATCTCCAAGCATTCATTTAAAATTTCTTCCGATGGCGTCATATTTTAATAAATATGTCAGATGACGAAAATCCCCAAGCATCATTAAACCGTGCATAAATTATTCGAAAAAATTTATTTGAGTAAATTTTTAGTACAATTCGTAATTGTGCCGCAATTTTGACCAACCCTGTACACTAATCGATAGGAATTTTTATATTTTTTTAATCAATACTTCCAATCCTATCTTCTCAAGAAAGTGTAGAATATGGAGTGGCTTTAAATTACGTATATCACCCTCTTCTATTTTATGTGCTCCTAAGTATAGTGCCCTGGATTCTGGAGTGCTACACACTGAGACAGTCATAACATGAATGGAGGTTTCGTCCTCCTCCTCTCCGAATTTGCACTCACTCTCTTTTACTACTCTCAGTTTACTAAGGTGTCCTTTGATTAGGCAATACCTACAAGAATCCCTGATACAATGGCACCCTGTTCTTGCTCAGGCAGATACAGGCTTCCGATCTTTTCTGATTATATTCACCCAGAAGTACCTTAGCCTGTCTTAGCCTCAAGAGTTTGTTGCAATTATCGGTTTTTCTACTGCCCAATTCTTTTTAAATCTTTCCTAATATTGTGTTACAGATGATACCACAGAACGGCGCAGGTCCCACAAAGGGCGTTTGAGCCCATTGCGAGACTGTCTACAATCTAGATAACCCCTTTCCCTTGTTATGTTTCATAACCTAAAAGAGATTAACTGTATTTTCTTAGCCTTTTAGTCATTAGTTTTTTCTAGGCATATCCAGACCATTTTTGAGCTTATGTAAGAGCTTAGCACTTTGATGGTTGCTTAGCTATCGGGCATGATATTTGGGATATTGTCTCTCGATGTTAAACTGCATACAATTCTTAATGGCGTTAATTTTCGCCTGGAAGATGCTTGGGTATTTCCCCAAACTTTCAGAGTGCTTGATTCTAGGCCCATACACTCCTATTCTAGTTCCTTCTATGGTTTTGGAACTAACCGTATTCCACTTCTTTCGGCTGCAAGCATGATGGATTCTTGGATCCATTCTTTTTTCAGCCCACCTCTGTGGTTTTGAAGATTTTCAAAAACTGTACTTTTTTCTCATTTCGTTCTGGGGCGTATCCCAAGTAACTTCGGTCCTGAATCTAATAAACTTTCATCTGATTACTCCATTCCTAGTTATTCTATATATTGTCCTTTTTGACTTGTTTCGTATTTTCTACGACCTCTTGCCTTGATTAGGCGATATCCAGAACGCATTTTACAAAGCAGTGTTATGCGTCATCTTGAATAAAAATGTAATTCTTTGAATTAGGGGTGTTTGGTAGGTACGGTTATAAAAATGTTTCCAATAATGCTATATTATTCTAATTTCAACTTCAGTCTACTGCAGTTAATTTCGTGCTTGGTTCTTTTTTTTAACTGGTGTTACTAATAATGGCTTGGTACGGTCATTGCTTGGTAGCTCTTGTTGTTCTGGCATGTTTTCGCCTATAATTTTTAATGTTACCTGAATAATCCAAAGCCATATTATCCAGTAACTGGAGATCTATATTATGTGTAAATGAGGTTTACGATTTCGGGATTTTTGGGTATTTTTTCCATTTTCCATTGACAATGTTCATTTTTTGTTTATTTTGCAGTCCGACTGCCTGAATTATTAATGTGAAATCCATTTGAAAGTTTTATCATTTAGTCATAATAATCTTGATTTATATGTTTTGATTTCTGATCCTATTTTTAAGGTAACAAGACTTTTGAATAAAATAAACTATTCTTTTATATTTCCATGCCTTTTCCTGTAAGTAGGCAATGAGATGAAACAAAATATAAACCATAGAAAAACTAAAACCATTTCATGAAATCCGCAGACTTAAATCCGCCCCTAATTACGCATCGGGCTGGTTAGATCCTGCAAAGCGCTCTGGGAACAGGACAATGCAAATGAGGGCAGTAATGCCTGCCGGCGGTAGCTGTACAACCGGCCTAATTACAAATTCTCGCTAATTGGAGTCCAGGGAACATAATAGTAGTTGACTGTCCGGTATGTCGGCTTGCGCCATACCACGCCATACGGTCGGTCTCAAAAGACACACACTCTCACACGCAGACTGGTGCATAGGAAAGCGGCCTATTAAATTATGAGTCTCTGTTGGGCGAGAGCTGGGCTAAGTGCTTAAAGAGTTTCAACTCTCGAAGGATCAGAGATATTTCGAAATTGTTTTTAAGGATATTTTTTGAATAGATTTTTTTATGTTAAACACGCTATCTTCTAAATACTTTTTTTTATTTACAGATCCATCACAGAATCTCAACCAAGAGGCGATGATGCTACCTTGGGTGATCAGTCTCCTGACATGTCTTCTCCTACCGTCGTGTTTGCCGAACCCGCATCGGGGGCGCCATCATCCTCCGGAACCGCACGCCGAAGCCTACCACATATCACGTGACCAATTCGATCCTCACAGGGACTCGGAGGAATTCAGACGGGACGCCTCTGACGATAAGAGGGAGTTCACCAGGAGAGATTCTACCGACGATGATCCTCTGGTGGTCCAGACCAAAAAAGGGAAGGTGCGCGGCTCAACCGTTACAGCAGTAACAGGAAAGAAAGTAAGTTCTCTAGTTTTAGAGAGAAATTATTTTGAGCTGTCATTTGATAAGCATTGGGGTTTTTAGCGAAGCGAATGCCTTCCATGTTGATAACATTTTTGGACATTGCAGGAGAGGATAAATATAAATTAAGATCAATTAAATAATAAAATAATTAACCAAGCATCAATCTAGATCATTATGAAACTAAGTGGACTTTACGTTTTCAATACCTTCTTTGTTCTATTAAGATCCATGATTTGAATATTTCTCCTTAAAAACAAAAACTTTTTACACAAAGGTTTTATCGGTATATCCGCAAGCTGCAGGCGTGACTAAATATATTTCAATTTTACAACTTCATCTTCTACAACTTGGTGAATGGAATGATATTTTAATGTAAACATGTTTCGTCCTATTATGAAATTCTGGGGTGTTTGCTAGTCTAATGGTACTTTGGTAATCGATTTTGATTCTAAACTTAAAAGACAATCCAACTCTTTAACTAGACGTCGTATACAAACAGCTTCTCTACAACCATATAATAAGCCAATATACTCAGCTTATGTGGTAGATAGATCTAGGAGTCCTTGTCTTTGAAAAACTGACTTACAGGAGTACCATCATTTTTAAAAATATGTATTAACTTCTGGATTTCCTTGTTTTTACATCTCCAGCATAGTCTGCTCTACCAAATTTTTTTGTTGAATATTTTGCTTTCCAAAAACTAAATCTATTTTTACTTCCCAAGAGAGCCTCAGATGACTTTGTCATAATTAATCTCTCATCTACATCTGCGTTTGTTGAATGCAATTGGAACTATTTTAAATAAGTTCGGAATATACACACAACCAAACTTACATGGAATCATTGTGTATTTCTGAATAAACTTTTTGTAAGAAAAAAATTTGGTATACAACTTTAAGATAAGGCTTTTTGTTCAAAACAAACATGATAATAAAGAGAAAATGACTGCTGCAATTTATTATCTTGTGAATTTTGTGTTCAGAAGTAAAATCACGATCTTCAGGTAATTTTATTTTGGTCCAAAATAATAACAAAATGCCTTATCTTGGACCAACAGACATGCAGAGTGAAAGAATTATTACTCTCATTGAACAAGAAATGTCTCAATGAGACATAGCAGAGGTAGTAGGCGATATCCAGGGTGTTGTATCGAAAACGTATGAAAGGTACTTGGAACTAGAAACTCTCAAGAACAGGCCCAGACAAAGTCGTCAAAGAGTCACAACTGAAAAACTGAACAACCGCTTTGTGTATCGAATTGCTAGAAGAAATCTCAGTGTTTCTTATCCAGAGCTACAACGAAAACTTCTGGAAGCTACAGGTGTGAACGTTTCAGTTGAAACCCTAAGAAAAAGACTTTGCGCTCGAGGGTTGTACAGTAGGAGATAGTTACGGGTCCCACCGTTATCTAAGCAAAATTAAATTGACCGGCTAAATTGGTGCCTTCAACACCAAAACTGGACAATTGAAAATTGGCAAAATGTTCTTTTTTTGGATGAGATCAGAATTGGTCTAAGATCAGATGACCATCGAATTCGGGTATCAAGGAGAAACTGCAATGTTCTGGGGAGGTATTATGCTGGGAGCAAAGACTACATTGTTACCACTTCAACAAACTTTAACCGGTCCGAGATATATTGATTTAGTGCTAGAATTAATCGTTAGGCTTTGGAGAAATAAAATTGGGGATAATTTTGTCTTTATGCACGATATAGCACCTCCCCATACCAGCAGAGAGGCTAGAAAATGTCTTGAAACGGAAGGTGTCATAGTTTTAGACCGGCCTGCATATTCACCAGACCTAAATCCTATCGAACACTTGTGGGACCAGCTCAAAAGAAGGGATAAAGCTCGTCGAAACAATGCAGGAAATGTCGCACAGCTTATTGATGCAGCATTAGCAGAATGGGAAAACATACCCCAAGACAATGTTGACAATTTAATAATAAGCATGCCAAGGCGAATAAAAGCTTGCATAAGGGCTAGAGGTGGTAACGCGGATTGTAAAAACCCAATTATCTTTTTGCTTTTGCTTTTCAGCTATTAAAAATTTAAAACTAATTTTGTTTCAGAAACCACAAAAATACCATTGTGTTTATTTTGTCAACTTATTGATTATTTTTATTACCATGTAGGTTATTTGTCATTAAAAGCCTTTTGTAAGGACTGAGTGTTATTCATGAACAAAAAATGTTTATACGTCTCAAAAATTATGAAAAATAATAGATGATTCCATATAAGTTTGGTTGTGATTGTACCAAGGTTTTATTTAGTCAATATACTAAATTATCGTGTTCTTTAGAATCCTTTTGGCTGTTTCATGTAGATCGTCTTGACCAGATCTTCATATAGAAAGGTAGTTATCACATTAAACTTTGTTATCTCGAAATCTTCTTCTGCAACAAGAGCTAACAAAAATCTCGTTATCAGTGTAAAGTGCAAATATCTCTACATAATCAATTTCTTATCTAGCTTGTATTGTATCTATATTTTCCATTTACATCTTTATGAAAAGATTTAATTTTTTTGAGGAATAGTATCGCTGCTACTTCATTTTTAAATGTTTAAGATAGGATTCATTTTTGAAATTTTTTTTAAAACTTTATATATTCTTCTTTGTGATTGTACTTACAAGTATTAAAAGTAACTTTTAAATTGGTGAAAATAATTCAAAATAATGTGAAAAAAAGTACCTGAGTACAAGTAACATGAGTGACGACTGGATTCGGGAACAACATATCAACTATTAAGAAAGCATCCAAAACAGGCACATGGAAAAGCCTTCATAGGCAGACCATGTCCCAAAAGAACTGGAGAACTACTCTTTATGAATAGGAACCAGTAGAAAGTGATAACAGAGTTCATGACTGGGCACGCTCCAGTAAAGGGAGACTTAAACAAAATTGGCATGTATAATGGGGAACTCATGTCACAAGAAACCAGAAACGGCCAAACACATATTGTGCGAATGCGAAGCTCTAGATCGCAAAAGACAGGCTCTTTTGGGACAACCCCAGGTTGATCCAACAACGTATAGAACCCACTCACCCAAGGATCTGTACAAACTTGTACAGGGTACAAAGGTGACAGAGTGGGTGCTATGAACTAACATGGGGTAAAACACAATAAGCCAATAGGCTTCAGTGTTATTCGGAGACATAGTCAGACGAACCCAGGAGAAAAAAAAGACATGAGTGACAAGAAACACCAAAGCAAGATTTATTTGGTTCCAGGTTGTAAAACGGCACATAAATTAAATGTAAAACTAAAGAAAACACAAGGATAAATCAATTCCAAGTCTTTTTAAAGCTCCTAGTTTATGTAAAATAATGTATTTATGTATTTCTAAATATAATATTTATTGTAAACTATTCACAACCCGTATCTTACGAAGTGTGGTTTTATCACAAATACAATAATATTTTCTGCGGTGAATTGTAAAAGCTTAATTAGCGTTCGTTTTTTCTCTCTATTCTTCATGTAATAAAGATTATAAACTTAGCGTTAGCTTAGGTTCTTTTGGCAATGCTTTAATCTAAGTCACGTTTACTTCATAGTGCCGTTTATCCAATGCAAATCGGACCAATAATAGCGGATGTATAAGTATATGTCGTAAATGACGTTGAATCACCTTGACGTTAATTGTCGTTAGTCCCATTCCATTCGGACCAATTATAGCGAAGATATAAGCTTTTGTCCAGAGATACTTTTGTCCTTTTGATTTTATTTTTTCGTTTACCTCGTGACGTCACACATCGCTTCGCCAATGCGCTAGTTCAGTGATGAGGTAATTATGGTTCCACTGACAATTAAAGTGACAGTAGATTTTTTGAGTGCATTTTGTTCGTTTTTTTACCTAAATTATATCGTTTTTTTTTTACTTTTATAAATATATTCCTAAAATAAGTAGATAGCATGTATCAAATATACAATCGTTTAGTTACCAATTACATACCTTTAAACTATTTTTTATGACCTGTAAACTATATTTTGAAATAAAATAAAAACAGTAAAAACGTATATGTCAAATTTATTGATGTTTTTGTTAAAAGTTTGGTTAGAATTAAATGTCAGTGGAACCAAAATGACAACACACTGAACTAGCGCATTCGCAAAGCTGTAATCCCAGTTTCAAGTCTCAACACTGACAGGTGGCACCATCTCTGCGTGACGTTTGGTGAGCCTGTAAAAAGGTAGCTCATCTACTTGCTAAGTAGCCAAAAATTTTAAAATCATCTATTTTGAGCTTCTTTTTATACCATAGCTCATGAAACGTCTCTTGAACAGCTAGTTTTGAGGCAATTTTATTTAAAACATATCTTTGTTGCTTTACTCCAATAATTCTAAAGGTAGACTTTTGGAATAGAGTATAGAATTGGCACTCCCTGTTATTGTTCTAAATAATTTTTCAGATTTTGTTTATGATTGTATAGTGCGAATCCATTATTATTTCATGGTCTCGGAAGTATTTCCTTATCTTTTAATTTATGATACCCAGCATAATATTTTTATAAAATTTTCAGTTTTAAATTTTACAAGAGTTTCATATTCGACAAATCACCAAAATTTTCAGATTTGTGTTTTAAAAAATAAACAGTTTCGTATCCAGTGTAATCATCTTTGAATACCAAAACATCTTTGGATCCCTCTAAAATTTGTACATTGAAGGGGCCAAATAGTGCAGAATTTTATTGTAAATTCTGACTCTAATACTACATTGATAATATCAATGGACCAGAGACCAGCAGAGTACCATCAAAAAAATCAGCAAGAGAAGCGTTAGATGACACAACAACTTGTCTTGTGTCACTCAACACTTACAGCCGTATGCATAGTCTATCGCCAGCGACTCGCCAGAGATTCATTCCGGCGTTTCGCCAGCGATTCGCTGGCGATCCGCCGGCGAAAGCCCAAAAAGGTGGCGTCTCGCCGGAGAACCTACATAGAACACTAGGCTAATGATCTTAGATGTTGAAGCCGTACACCAAATAAAA